CTTATACGTCTAAGAGATGAGATGCTTTTGTGGAGGATTTTTCTAAAGAAAATTGGATCATGTTAATGCGGGAATCAAGACAAAAATCAACTATGAAGCCAGCTTATTTCCTTTATTTTATTATAAAGGTTGAAAGTACCAGCATTTGAGTCTTAGATACTCAGCCACTAATGGGACTCACTGGATGTGTAACATGGATTATCAGACTTTAGTATGGATATAACATGTCTTTTATATTAATTAACTGTATCATTGTTTATAAAAATTAAATAATAACATGTACATGATGAAGGAGGATTACTAGAATGATTTTTGAAAAGCATGTGCAAGGATATACGACATCAAAATTCAGATGATAACAGATCTTAATTCATGGCAAAATATTTTAGATATGACATACTTCGTATTCTATTTAAAAAGAATTTTTTTTTTTTTTTACTCCATAAATATAATTTGCAATAAAGACACAATTATTTCTTTCTATTAATTAAATATTGAATTTAAATTAGATTACTTAGAATTGTCACTGTACTTCTTTATAATTTTTGCAACTGTTAACTAATCATTGATAATTTAATATGCTAACACTTTTTAATTTAATAAAGGGGCATTAGCCCAGAAGAGCTATTATGCTGGAAACGTCATTTTGCGTCAAATCAATAAAACAGCTGTACACTTTTCAAATTATTGCTACTAAATATTATCACCCTGTATTATATTTAAAGACATTAAATAATGAAAAAAAAAAAATCTGAAATGTTTTTTCAGATTTTAAATTATGTCCAAAGGGGCGTTTTTTTAACATTTTGTGTGTTACCTTTTCTTTATTAAATATCATGTTCCTCGCACTTAAACCATAAGATCCAGTGCAACAGCAATATCGCAAATATTTTTTAAAACGAGCATATCTTTTAGAATTTCCGATACAGAGACTCACGCGCTGGAGATAAAAATGTTTTTTCTTTTCTGCACAACGTTGCCATTGCTCGCTTTGAAATCCTTGAGTTTGTTATCAAAAATTCGTCAAAGTTTTAAAAAATAGGAAATCGATCATAAAAACAAATTTCAAATTTTGGTCTTCCACATGCTCATATTCGTTGGAGGATTACGTTATTCAAAATTCGATGACTCTATGTACCATTGTTTTATCACAATACGAGAAATATACATACATTTACGCAGATTTTCATTATTTAATTTCTTCAAATATAATGCAGGACTCTAACATTTTATGGCAACAGTTTGAAAAGTGAACCGACATTTATCCGTCCGACGCAAAATGCCAAAACGAAACTAATAGTCCTTCGGGATTCAAATCCCTTTGGACTAAAAATCTGTATGTATGTATGTAGGTTTCTTGCACTGGAAAAAACAACGGTACAATCTGATTTTTTTAAGAAATCAAGAGAATTTCCTGAACAACAAAAAGATAGTTGGAAGAAAATATATTGTTAATAATAAAATAACTTTAAATAGTAACTTAATTAATATCTGAAAGTTCAGTTATTATTTCTTAAATGGAAAAATACTTACATATATATATATATAAAGAGTTTTATTACTTGTACCTTCCAATAACAGAAAAATACTCTAATCAGCTTTCCTAATCATTAAATAATATTTTAACCAGATCACTGATTGCAAAACATGTATTTACTGTATTTCTGTGCTGTAAAACTGTGTTAAAAACATAGAATGATGACAAAATGGAGCATACAAAAAAGCAAAAAGCTTTGTTAAGGTGTAAAGACAAAAACATAAATCTTCGTTCTTCACAAGATAAACTTAACAATAATCAGAAAATATGCCCCTTGTCAAACAATTATTATTATTATTTTTTTATTTTGGGAGAACTTTGTTTTGGGATAGCTTTATGCTTATATTTTGTAGTATTATTTTAGAATTGCCAATTAAAATGTCTGCAGATTAACTTTTCTCACACCTATTTTTAACAGTGGAAGAAATAATTGCATCTCTGTTTACTTAAGGTATTTTATTATTTTCAACAAAGCCTTTTATCTTAACTCTAGAAGCATTTACTTCTTCCTTAAAAAAATGTGAGAAGTGGGTTCCACTGGTCAAGGATTCTAGATAAACATTTCTGTAAAGTTAAGCAGCATGTACATACATATTTCAGTATCATGAAGCTATTGTAATTGTTTAAATTTTACCTTCCTTGGCAATCTTTCCAAGATAATAATAAATGTCAATAATGTGTTCATCTACACTTACTGGCAAAGAAGCTGACCAAAGAAGCTTTGTCACTGCTAAATTTAAGAGGTGACAGGTGCATCTCATATTTTGCAATTATTAGTCCAAAGAGGCTTTGTCCCTGAAGGACTATTGTTCGTTTTGCGTTGAATCACTATAAATGTTCGTTTCACTTTTCAAACTGTTGCCACCAAATGTTAGAGTCCTGCGTTATATTTGAAGACATTAAATAATGAAAAATTTGCATAAATGTATGTATATTTCTCGCATTGTGGTAAAACAATGGTACATTGAATTCTGAATGACATAATCCTACTGCGAATATGTGGAAGTCCAAATTTGAAATTTGTATTATTGTTGATTTCATATTTTGTAAAACTTTAATGAATTTTCGAGTAACAAACTCAACAATTTGAAAGCGAGCAATGGCAATCAATAATCTACCAGAGGGGGGGACATTTTTATCTCCAGTGCGCGGAACTGTGTATCAGAAATTCTAAAGATAAACTCATTTTAAAATTATCTTGCGACATTGCTATTGGACTGAAATTTATGGTTTAAGTGCGAAGAACATGATATTTAATAAATAAAGGTGTTACCTTTATTTACTAAATATCATGCCCCTTTGGACGCTATTTAAAATCTGAAACCTTTCAGATTTTTTTTTCAGATGCTTGCAACATCGATCTTCAAGCCTGCAATTCCTGGTGCATTGTGAGCACTAATTGCTATGGAATTATCCTGAAAAATTGCACTTTCTAGTAAAGTTTCAATAATTAGCTGTTGAATCTCCTTCTAAAGTGAGGACAGAAAATAAATTACACTTAATTTCTGAAGATTCTATATTAAAAAATAAGACAACATTGGATACAGTTTTGCATTGGTATTATTGCTTCCATCCATGCAGCGGCAGAATAGAACTATTTTAATGCAATCAGTAAGTGAAAATATATTTTTCCATACCAATTTCTACATTTGCAGCCATTTTTGTCCCTGCACTTGAGTATTTCTTAGCAGTTTTACTGCCAGGAAACGCTTTTATAAAAAAGCTACAGCATGATCTGATGCATTCAGTGGCAGGTTGTGCTCCAGTAAAAAGGCAGAGAACAGGAATTCTGCATTAATATCTTTTTGGTCCTTTGTATCCACAGAAAAATTAAATTTCCCCCCCCCCCAGTATAACTCACAATGTCCTTGTGCACATGTTTAAGAACACTGGCCCTTCCATCATTTGAAATCAGAAAATCACACTGACAAACATACTCCTTGATGAAATAATAGAAGGAAAGCCACCCGTGTACGATGTTTGAAAAGTACATGAATATATTACATTTTTTGTACACATAACTAAGACAAAAAATCAGTTTCTTTAAATGTTTCTAGGAAGCACTTGAAACTTAACGCTGCTCACTGGCAAGATGAACGAAATATAAAAACCTCAATTTTGCTTTGTACTCAATGGCTCACTACATGCCAGAAGACTCACAATGGTGCCTGGTTCTCATTGGAGAACTGGAACATGACATTTTCAGAAATGTGTTTCAGACTCTCACATACAAAGCAGAAATGTGTCATATCTCAGTATGAAATGACTTCAGCATTTTTATGTGCATCTAGAGAAAAACGAGTGCTTTCAGATGCCCAAAATCTCTTTTTTGTGTGCAAATAACGAAGTATTAAGCCAGGGAGAGTTGGCAGCTCTCCTAGAGCCATCAAATTCTGAATAACGTAGTCCTCCACCTGAATATGAACACTGGAAGCCCGAATTCGGAATTTCAAATTTGTTTTATTGTTTAATTCATACTGTAAAACTTTAGTGAATTTTTTATTAACAAACAGGACAATTTCAAAGTGAGCAATGCCAACACTCTATGAAAAAAAATAATTTTTATCTCCAACATGCGAGACTGTCTGTTGGAAATTCTAAAAATATGCTGTTTTTAAATATTTTTAGCCCAAATAATCTCGAAATGTGTATGTAAATGGCAGGGGGGGAACCTTTGGGCATAATATAAAATGTGAAGGCTTTCAGATTTAAAAAAAAATTTCTGTTGCTCATATTATTCTTGCATCTCAATAAGTGTGAATAACATGTTGTATTTATTGTTAATGTTAAAATTCATCAGTGTTTCCAGAAGCAGTGGTCTTTGGATATTCTTTGAGGTTTTAGGAATGTATGGATGCCAATACAGTCAAATACCGACAGAATGGTATGGAATTGCGACACGATTGTGTATGATATACGGAAAAATAAAGAAAAGCTGTTGAAATTTTACAGCAACAGTGATTCTAACACCGGAATCAAAACCGGAAATCTGCATGAGGTGAAATTGGCAAACCTTGATACTGTGTACACATAATACAATGAATAATATAATCAATTTATATATGTAATAATAATTTAATGCATATAATAAATTAGTGCAATAATGTACATAATAGTTTAATTAAATGTATCTAATATGCATTATTCATTTTGCACTTTTAGTCCGAATATTATGCTTTATCTTTTCTGTCCTGAAATCCGCACAACCTGTGGTCCGAAGCTTTGCGGATTTCTGGAATTCTACTGTAGTATTTTTTTTCCAGAGTAAAATATTCACATCAAATTTATATTTGTGTCGAAAAATACGGAACTCTTTGTCTAATAGTTGAGTTTTTTGGGCTATATATATTTTGAAATGATATACACGAAGAAATCATATTTATAAAGATTTCTTAATAATCTTTGTTATAAAGATAATTTTTATATACACAAAGATTTTTTATTCATAAATATTTGAGCTTACTTTTATTTCTTTCGCAGATGGAAATGGGATTAACTTGTCTTCCATGCTTGCAATACAAACTGCAGCAACAACTCCTTTCAGTGCAATTCCAGCATCTAATAATGCCATGCATGCAGCATTTATACTACATGCTAACATCTGAAAAAAAAAAATTACTATCATATATATAATATATGCAACAATGGTAAAAAATGAATATTTAAAAAATTAAATATACCCCACCAAAGCAAACTGTAATGGTATAACATAGAGGGGGGGGAATACAAATAATTATGAATATTCAAAATTGAGAGAAAACCCAATACAAATATAGTAGCTCCATCAACATATTTGAATGCCAATCGTCCAAATCTGGTTATGGAGACCTAAATTTTGCTTTACTTCTTTCTACCTTCAGTATTTTACTTCTTATCTGCTCATATATTATATGCACTTTAGATTTTTATTGGTATAATTATGATTAGGGAAAAAAAAAAACTTGGAATCAAGGGTTCATTAATGCTCAGAGCTTAATATCTGGTTGTAACGGAATTTTTTTTTTTTGCAAAAACGTTCTTCATAAAGTAGTTGGAGGTGGGGAACATGAAAACAGTACCTTTAGTGTGGGTAGTAATAACCACACCAATCTATGCTTTCCTTCTAATGTTTTGGTAATTTTTGAAAGCCATCGGCCCAGAAATTGGTGGCCACAAGTCCAAAAACAGATGAACCTCATTTCAGATGTCCTGTGTAGAATGTAAGACAGCAACAGCAAGATGTAGCTGCAGGTGTGAAAAACGGCAGAAGGGTGAAAGTCATTTAGTAACAGAGCGGACAATCATGGAAGCAGTGAAATATGTAAATATCTGGTTGTCTAGGAATTCTTTGCACGAGGCAAAATTGGCAAACCTCGATGCTGTGTACATATAATACAATGAATAATATAATCAATTTATATATGTAATAATAATTTAATGCATATAATAAATTATTGCAATAATGTATATAATAATTTAATTAAATGCATCTAATACGCTTTATTTATTTTGCACTTTTAGTCTGAATATTATGATTTATCTTTTCTGTCCTCGAATCCTGAAATCCACACAACCTCTGGTCCCAAGCTTTGCGGATTTCTGAACTTCTACTGTAATCACCACCCAAATCTAGGAATTTCTGCCAACATTTTGGTAGTTTTTCAAAGCTTTCGGCCCAGAAATGTTGTGGCCACAAGTCCAAAAACAGACCAACCTCATTTCGGACATCCTGTCCAGAATGGAAAATAGCACCAACAAGATGTAGCTAGAGGTGTGAAAAAGGGTAGAAGTCCGGATACTCTTTGTGGATAATACCATGGCAATGCTACTAGATACAAAGCATGATCTTTTTGTTAGTCAAATTGCGCGTTGCGAACAGGCTCAACGGGTGCAGACCAACCCTTTTTTGGCCTGTGTTGTTGAAGTAAATCCACTTGTCATGACAAGTGATAATCTGGTCCATAATTTTCTCCTTGTGTTGATATTTGAGCAGATTAGTGCAGGCCCGAACACTTTTATTCTTATAAGCTTGAGCCGGATCATGCAACACTCAGCGATTGAACTTGTATATCAGGTTTATGCGATGCATAGTGCGACTAATGGACATGGCACTAACATCTAACTCCTTAGCAAGCTCTCGAATGGTGCTATACTGATCTTCTACTGTTTCTCGCAGGTGGGCCTCATCAACATCGGTAGGCAGACAGAGTGATCTGCTTTTTGAATGTCATAGTGCTTGCTTTTGGATTTTTGGTACCAAACTCTCACAGTGTCATATGATACAACATTAGTACCTAATGCTCTACACATGTTTTGGTGACATTCTGTAGCTGACTTTTTTTAACGAAACTGGAAGTAGATGGTTCTAACCTCATAGCGTGATAATTCCATTTCAGACAGCTTGTACTTAATGATAACTGTATTTTTCACAACACAGTATTTTAAAGTGAATCTCTCTCTTTCAAACGCCAAAGCTCGTTTGATAAAATATGATTAAACATGTTAATATGAACTGTCTGCACAGATAATATTTGCATTGGCAGGAAACTTTTGTTAAAGCCCAATATTTCTAGATAAATAGTCTCTACAAAATGAAATGATTTCAGAACTCTAGAATTGTTGCAAGAGGTCTGAACAAGGTCACAAAGAATAATAACTGCTTCTTAAGAGTGATAGCCCACCAGCGGCCGAGTGGTAAAGATGCTGAACACTGGTAGTAACGTGTATATGAGCCAGTTTCTCTTAGAAAGTCCTTCACTGAGGCATCCCTCCCTTCAGGCAGATAGCCTTCGTGTGCTTTGCCATAATGGAATAATCCAATCTAATCCAATCCAATCTTAAGAGTGATATCTAGGCTAACTACCTATCATAACAGAAAATCTATTGTGCAGTTAAGTTGAGAGCTTGCAGCTGTCACTGGAAGTGTTGTATTATGGCAAACTGTATACAGAAGGGCTTACTAAAAAAGGCCTTTATGCCTGAAAGTCAAATGTATGTGTTTCATTGTCTTCAGAGAAGAGAGATTGCTTTCATTGATGAAGAACACTAAAACTGTAGTGAACACCAGTGGTCCCATGATCTCTTTTCTGGTAAGTCATGGTTTAGTTTATCTGATTCAAAATGCGTTTACATCTGAAGGAAGTCAAGAATGCAAAATCTTCTTTCAAGCATTATAGAATGTGATGATTTTGGTAATGCAGGTATGATGGTATGGGATAATAATGATCGATGGATGTATGCCCCAATACATTTTTAACAGTGGATTTCTGTGACCAACCAGAGGTATCGGGATGACATCACAGAACCTTATGTAAGACTTTTCACGGGTGCATATGGATCTGACCTTTTTATTTATGGACAATAACACTTGTTCACATTGGGCAAACTTTGATGAAATCCTTTAAAGTGAAGACAGTGAGCAAATACAGTAAGTAGCCTGCAAAATCTTCTCATCTTAATTCGATACAGAACTTAAAGACTCCCTTGGAAAAGTGGTTGTACAGAAGCATCTTCCTCCTAGAAATGTAATTACCTTGAAGATCATATTGCTAGAGGTGTGGCACTTCTCAAATTGCGGTTAACAACATCACTGGTAGCATAGGAACACACTGTAATATACGTGTACAAGTCAGGGCAGCTCATATTTCGTGTTAAATTCATAGACCTTCATATTTTCCTGAGTGATTCTTTTTTCTTCCTGAATTCTCCTTGTAATATATTATTTCCATTTTTATTATCTCATGCTACAGTTTTATATCATATGCAGTGTTCTTAATTTTTTCCCCTTTGTACTAATGTGTTATATATCATTCTGTTAATTCATGCATGTTATGATTATTTTGGTTATGATTACATATTACATTATATTATATTAAGTTTATGTTTCAGCTATTTAACTAAATGAGAGCTATCTGTATGTGTAATGAGATGTCTTCATACAGCATTTTCTAAGGAAAATTAACTTACACGGAAATAAGCAAGGAAAGTTTTTCTCAGTTGGTGACTAGTATCAAGTCAAATTGCCTGCATTCCATATTTTACCATGCCTACATATTGGCACCCCTTAATCATTGATTCTTTTAATTACATTGTAAAAGCATTAGCAGTATGATTTTTATATTCATTATATCATGGTATCATTACAAACAAACAATATATTTATATATTATAACTTATAATAACTATTCATTCTTCAGATCTAAAATACTTGCAAATAAATTAAATTAATGTAAGTAATTATGTTTAATTTTTTTAAGAAAAAGAAATAAACAATGAAACTTGAAAATAATAAAAATTAATTTCTCTTAGTTCTAAAACATTTTAAAAGAATTGGTTTGCCTTTAATTACAATTCATTAAAAAAAAAAATGCATAAATAAAAGTAGTATAATAAAAAAAATCTGAAAGGCTTCAGATTTTAAATTACATCCAAAGGGGCATTTTTTTTTAATGTTTCGTTGTTACCTTTAATTTATTAAATATGTTCTTTGCACTTAAACCATAAAATTCAGTTCAACAGCAATATTGAAAAATAATTTTTAAATGAGTACATCTTTAGAATTTCCGATACACAGTTCCGCACGCTAGAGATAAAAATGTTAGTAGCAGTTTACGGTGACACAGCACCTTCTTAATCCATCAGAAAGTGGGCTGCTATGTTTGGAAGGAAAGAGTGTTACTCAAATTCCAGACCAGATTGCATGTGACCACTGAAAAAATACATACTGAAATCGAGAAATATATATAAGCGATAGTTTTTCAAAATGCCACAGAAATGGGTATCAATCCTGAATCAACGAGAAGAAAATATTGCATGAAAAGCTCGAGCCGTCAAAGGTCTGTACTAGATAGGTACCCAGAATTTTGATGCCAGAAATGAAGAAACAGTGAATGTTCTACAGAACCATTTTCCATGATAAATGCTGATAAAAATTTTTATAGATAGTTAATATCAAAAGACGAAAACATGACTTTTTCATCACTGTCACCCAATTTCTAAATAATGACATAGAAACACAATGGATCTGCAAAAGCCCACTAGTTGAGAAGACAGAAATCTCAAATGAAAAATTTAGGTGCAATTTTTTGGGATGAAGAGGACCACTTCTTACTGATTATATGCCACATACTATGATGATAACAGTGTTTATTCTGCTAATCTGATGATAAAAGTTCAACTAGCCATGAAGGTAAAATACCTAGAAAACTCGAAAGAAAAGTGTTGCTTTTGAATGATAACGCTTCAGCACACAAAGTGAAAATTTCTGAGACTGCTATTCAGCAGTACGAATTTCAGATTTTCTTCCATTCACCATATTTGGCTTCAAGTGATTTGTTTAAGAAATAAGCAGCATTTGTGTTATTCTCATTACAGCACTAATAATGATTTGAAAGCTGGCATTCAGAAATGTTTTGAAGATGTAAAAAAAATTCTTTTTTTCTTCTCCTACAGGAATTTTACTCTACATGGATCATTGTGTTATGTGAATTGAAATCAAGAAGAACTATGAAGGAAACTAGAAAAATAATTCTAGAAATTTATCTTATATAAGTGTATTAGGTTTAATACTATCTGAATGCTATTTTAACCTAATTTTAAGGTAAAGCTCACTAATTAAGCAAAATTTAATCTAAATCGATGTTAATAGGAAAATACTTTATGAATTAATATATATATATTTTTTCCTATTTTTTATTATTTCCCATAGATACAGAGATTCTCCTTATTACACACACTATAAAATGCTTCTGCTAATTTCATTTTGGACCTGATGTCTTGAATACATCCAGGCATCATACTGTTTTCTGATACAATTCTTTATTGTGTTACAATATTTAAATTTATATTAGAACTTTATTTCGCTAATGTCTACCAGTTTTAAAATATATACAAATTTGGAGAATTTTATTACACTTAATTATAAAAGAGGTTACTTTTATTTTTATTTTTTAAGATTACTGAATTTAAATTTGATACCTAAATCAAAACTACAAAAAGACACAACAAAAATATTACTAAAAATAATTACATTTCCAGCATCTTGTATTTCTTGAATGATGATATTTATAGATGTACGAGGATGTAAAGCAGTCAATATAACAGGCTCCACAGCATTTCTAATAAATGCTTCCATCACTCTTTCTTCACTATCTAAAATTTAAATATGTCAAATCATATTACATGAAAAAGCACATTCCAGATTTAAATTGAAAACATTGCTTTTTTTCTCTTAATAGCAATTATATGTCGAGTTTAATCTCAATTTAACTTAAATAAAAGAAAACCATTTCCAAATCAATATTTGCAACATGCAATCAATGCAAATTAGAGACTATACAGTCAAAAGTCATTAATCCAGACCTCAAAGCTACAAACTTTCTGCGCATGCGTCAACGCATTAATATGTTGAGGCATGAGTGTTAATGCCTTTACGCATGTGCATATGCGTATACGCATTTAATGTATAACGGATGGTATAAGCTAAGCTAAAATTATCTAATATCTATTTCATTTAATGTTGCAGATTGTGTTGTTCCTTAATCTTTGAATTGGATCCGTCTTATTATTTTTTGCAGACTGTTAGAGCAATTTTATAAAAGTAAGTTGGAACTTTCCATTATGTCAAATAGAATTTCTGATGCTGGAGCTGCCAAAGGATCTACAAAGGGAAAGCATGTTTCAATGTCCATCAAACAAAAATTGGAATTGCTGTAAAAAATGGATAAAGGCTCCTTTGTTTCTTTAACCATTCCGAAATCTGTTTATCAATTTCACGCTGCTCTGAAAGCAAAATGCAAGAAGCAAAATGTGCAAACAGCTCTCCAGACTAGGTGGTGGAGAGTTACAAATGTCTTGTTTAATATCCAATAGAGCAGGGGTTCTCAACCAGTGGTATGCAAAGAAGCAAAGTGTTTAACTATTAAATTCAAAAATTAAAACTCCAACATTCTGATTGAGTTTTTTCTCTAACACTCACACATAAATTTATGCGATCTAAGCTTTGTTCAAGAGTGGTGGTGGTACTAAAGGTTTTCAATTTTTGTTTAGATGGTAAGCACTATTCAAAAGTTGAGAACCGCTGCACTAAAGGATGCATGGATAAGATTATGTAGCACAGATCATATGAGCCCTGTTTCAAATTCTGTAAAATTCTTGCCTGTATATGGTTTTCCCCATCTGTGACTGAATTTGAACTAGTTTGTCTTAGGATTACTTTGATGAAGGCATTCCTCTATTTAAGCAGATAGCCCTTTTGCACTTTGCTTTTAACTGAATTTCACATTGTGACTATCATAGTAGTTTTGAAATCACATATCTATTTTGAGCAACCCAAACAAGAGAAATTTACAGCACAGAATGAAGACAAGGTGATTTCCTAACATTTAAATGCTATGCGTATTATTAAATATGGTTGAAAATAACAGGAAAAAGCGTACAGAATTATAGTCAATTGAACAATAACCATATATAGAAAATACAAACTAAACATCCTCAGAACATGTGAAATTTCACACACTTCTTTTAAAAATGATTCTATACGACAGATTGCGCTTGCATTGCATTTTTGGAACATTTTATAACTTACAAAATTACATTTGGATTTTTATGTAACATGATGAAATGTGTTACTTGGTTGCAGAATAAGGTACAAATTAAGTTTCATGCTGATTTTTCAATATTTTTCCTTCTGGCAGGGAATGGGTTCAGCTAAAGTATCTGGCATTATAAAAAAGGAAAATAGCTTGACTTAAGGGGGGGGGGAATAATATGGTACTCTTCTGTTATTGGAAATGTATGTATGTATTATCAGGTTCAATGTTCCGTCTTACTTTCTTTGGGAACATGCACAGACCTGACTCGGAACAGGGAGCTTACTAAAGCTATGTTCAATAACTGTGGGAAGTAGACAAGATACACAGGAAGGGTATACAAAACCCTTTATTTTTTCACTCTTTACAATAATTTCCGTATTTCAGAATACAGAGACCAACTACTTGTGGTCTGAACGTAAGAATATAAAAATATAACTAAACTCTAACTTAAATTTGGAATAATCAACAAGGGCCTGCGTGTAAGATTGGCCGGATA